TGGAGACGTGCTGAAATCGCGTTTGGTCTCGTACTGTATCGTGTACCTTGTCAGTGTCGTGTGCTTTGCTTGGCCATTTGTTGTGATAAACAGGAAAGTGTGTTCAAGCGCCAGCAGAAAACAGTGTAAAGAAATAGTCTTTGAGAGAAGCAGTCTTTATCAGCGGAAGTTAAAAGCAGCTCGTAAGTGTATTTACTTGTCTCATGTTTGTTTAGTGCAGTTGTCGTTGCTAGGAAACGCTTGTTTTGTTTACTGTGTGGAGACGTGCTGATATCGCGTTTGGTCTCGTTCTGTATCCGTATCTTGTCAGTGTCTGCGCTTGCTTGGCCATTTGTTGTGAAAAATAAATAAATAAGGAAAGCTGAATTATGTCCAGCTGAATTAATTTAGTATTTTGTTAGACGGGTATAAAAAAGCTTAGTTTACCGCGGCAGCCGTTGCATGACGGCCTCCTCGTGTGAAGACCGAAGAGTGTAAAGACCATCGACTCTACCGTGCAGGGACACCGGCAAAGGATAAATATCGCTTTTTATTTCTCCTCTTTCCTACTACTTGTTTCACTTCTGTTTCAGTTTTTATAACCATTTCTTACTATGTGTAAGTAAGTTGTTGTTTTTTAGCATATGTGTTTGGCAGTGTTATTTTTTAGGATTACTGATAAACTAATGTACTTTGATTTGTATTAGTTATCTATTTTAGTTTTAGTTACAGTTGTAGTAATGTTGTCATTTTATTCGTTTTTTATTATGTCTATATAGGTTTTTTTAATTAAGTTTTAGTTTTATTTAATTTGAATGTATTTGGTTTTGGCGGAATAGATCTGCTACACTGTTGCTGCGGCAGAGCAAGTACCGAGACTTGTTACTGCCAATACATCCACAACATGCTGCTGTGAGCATGTAAGAAATATTGCTGCTGCAAATATAACATACATGAAATAACCCCCATATAGCATACATGAATCACCTCGTAGCAGATCTATACAGGCTGAGCTGGGGAAGGTGGAGGGTTTCTGAAGCAAGCTGCAACTGCTACAGCAAGCACTAGTCATATATTTGAATGTTGACCAGCCAGCTCATTGGCTACTGATACAGAAGAGAACCAATCAGCTGTGCCATGTGATAATGATGTCATTAGGTCAGACTGAGTTAGACCTATAGGACTGCGCCATCTAGAGTTTCATACCAGAACTCTTGTGTGTGTATATATATATATATATATAAACCTTTAAACTTGTTTTATTTGAGCTAGTTGCCAAGGCAACATTTCTTATTTTCATTTAGCTTAACTTGATGAACTAAAATAATTAAAATAAAACTTAATGAAAATTATATAAACATTTTAAAAATAAAATAATAAAAAGGACAAAATACACAACAAAATTATTAAAACTAACTGAAATTAAAATGAAAACAAAAATAAAAACTAAAACTAATTCCAAATATTAATAAAAACTATAATAGTATCTCAATGATATGAAATAGAACTGTTTGGGTGCTATCAGTTTAAGAGTTTGTGTTCAGATAATTTTCTCACAAAAATGTTTTTAGGTATGAGATATGAAATATCACAAAGGCATCAGTACCTCAAAAAAGAAGGCAAGTGCTGCCACCCCTGTAGAGTCATTTAGAGCCTCTCCCAAGCTGCCATACTTTTCTTTAATGTGAACAATATGGAGCTGGGGGACAAAATGCATAATTAATACCCATCATAATGTAACTTGAAGAAAATAATAGGCTTTTTAGCTTTTTATTGTCCATATATGTTTGATAGTGACATGGACTCTCACCTCCATGGGATATCGCTCCCCGTCCACAGAGTGCTCTGAGCCCTGGCCGCCGTTCTCTCCCCAGTGCAGGTGGAACTGGACGGCCTTGTATGTGGCTGGCAGACCTCCACCACGGAGACGCACAGATTGAGGAAGTGTGAAGTGAGCTGGAAAGAAGCATGGAACTTGTAATTATACTTAACTGTTACAATTACAAGATTTAAAAGGTAACAGAATTCGAAGTAAATCGGTTAAACTCAACTGAATTAAACTGAATGGAAT